GCACAGGCAACAGCAGGCAGAACCACACGAAGCCACAAGCGCTGATTTCCAAGAACAGCCCATGGAATTGTTTTTAAAAGAGCTTTACAAAAAAGAGCTTTAAAAACAGAATTTTTAATTTAATTTAACTTCCCAAACTGTCAGCCTAAACCATTCGCAAAACTCTTTGGTGCTAACTTCTTCCACTTCTTTACACAGAGAGTGGTGGGAGTGTGGAACAAGATACCCAGCCGATACCCTGACTTCAGCAAACAGCTGGATGAGATCCTGGGATCATTTCATCTTGATCCCTCTTGTGTCTCATCTTTCTTCTGTTTCTGAACCATTGAGCTGAACTGAGCATGTCAGAGTTCAAGGGTTACTGGGGTGGACAGATCATGCAGGACACCCTGTGCCTCCTTATTCAGTGGCCGCAGGGTTTGGAAGACACCGTAGGTCATTGTCCTGCGTCCAGCCCATTGGCCTGACTCCCGATACTGTGAGAGTGCACTGGCCCACTGCATCAGAAGAGCAGTGGGGACAGTGTACAGAGTGCCCGCACTGGGCCCTGCCCTGAAACGGTGTGTCTGGGGCCTCACCGTGTCCCCTGCTGTCACCCCCAGGTCCCAGTGTCCCATTGCTCCCAGCCGTGCCCCCCTGGAACAGCAAAGAAGGTCTCCAACATCTTCTGCTGCTACAACTGTACCCCCTGTGTGGAAGGGACCTACTCCAACAGCTCAAGTGAGTATGGAGGCCAGACAGCTCGGGCTTTCCCAGCATTCAAGGACAGGGAATCATGGGAACTGCCACCTGCCCCTTTCCCTTGGAACCTTTTCATATAAGATCAAAATCAACCTTGACTGGGTTATACTGTGGTTTGTGGCGTTTCATAAGTTACTAAATTCTCAACTTTTGAATAGAAAAAAAACTTGTAAATATTTCAATCAAGCAACTTAGTTAAAGTGAACTAAGGCTTTGCGTAGGTAGTGGGCTGGAATGACCCCTGTACAGGACACTAACACACCGAGCTCGCTGTCCCTCCCTGTCTCTGCTTTTGTCCTCCTTCCTGTGTCACACACCAAACTGACCTGCTCTTCACAAACACAGTGCTCCCCTGATGACTGATGCCCCAGTCTGCTGAATTACAAGAGAATGACACCAAAGTGTTACAGGGAAGTACATTTAAAACTGAGAACAGAAGGCGATTCTTTACACAAAGGCTTGTAGGAGAGTGGAACAAGCTGCCCAGCCATGTAATGGAAGCTGAGGTTTTGGCTTCCTTCAGGAAGCAGCTGGATGAGATCCTGGGTCACTCGAAAGGGGTGAATACTTTTACAAGGTGCCAGAGCCGACACATATTGCAAGAGCAGCGCCAGCTGGTTATTGAAGTCAGGGTATCGGCTGGGTAGCTTGTTCCACACTCCCACCACTCTCTGTGTAAAGAAGTGTCAATACAACTGTAGAATGACGGATTTTTCTTATTGTATTTAGGTCTAAGACTAAGGTGAGAATAGTGTGAGAAAACACAGCAGGAATTGTAACGGTACTGTTGCCGAAATGTATGTATTACTGGACCCGATGCAATAGCTGGTTGATCTCACGCGTCGGGTTCGAGAAAGAGAGAGAGGGCTGGGACTCTCTCTTTCTCGGGACTTAGCCAAGTCGAAGGATCAGGAATCGTAGTCAGGGTCGAATCGCAGGTCAGGAAGCCGGAGGTTCAGAAGTTGAACAACAGTCGGGAAGATTTCAAGA